ACCCCAACCTCAGCAACAGGACCACTCTCAGCATCGACCAAGTGTGTTTGAACTGTGTCTTCATTCCACCTACTTCACATACAAGGCTCAGTTCTACAGGCAGAAACATGAGTGTGCCGTGGGTCCCCCAGTTTCACCCACTGTGGCCAATTTGTACATAGAAGAAGTGCAAAAGAGGGCTTTGTTATCCTACCCTGGAACACCACACCACCACCACCTTACCACAGTTCATGGATCACATTACCTCGGTGGACCAACACACCAGGGAGGATATGAAAACTGACAAGCAGGGCTGGGTTGTTTTCCCCTTTATAAGCACAGGTGCAGGTAATTAGTCCTTCTTGTTGTGTGAATCTGGAACTATGTGAATCCCTGGTGCAAGCATTGCTATTTGGCCTTTTTAATCTTTCTAAAAAAGAAAAGAAAAAGCTTGATATGGGTTACATAGGCTTCTATTAGAGACGTAGGACACAGAAAACTGTTTTGCTTAAGTTTCAGTAGAGTATGATGTTTATGTTGATTTTGATGTTCTCTTTCTGATACTTACGAGGGTGTGACCCTAACCTGGAGACAGCTAATTGAAAGACAGACATACCTTTCAGTAGGAGGGATATGGTAAGTGTGCTCAGTGTATGAATGTCTTGTTTTACTTTACAGATTTCCCACCAGTTGCTCTGCTGGGGAGCATTTCTGGCTGCTGAGTTCTTTATATTGCAATTTGTTTTAAATCTGGTTTGACTCGCAGAGCTGAGCGCTGTTCTTGTTGTGGTTGTTTTCTGTATATTTGGTTGTATGTTATTGTATCAGAAAGCACAATTCATTTATTGTGTTTCAGGGGGGTGTAACCCTTTCTTGCTGTTGTAGACAAGGCGCTGCGTGGAAACTGATTTTCCTTGCTGTGCATGTACCACAGTGAGCTTGAGGGCTGGCACTGAAGATTCTCTCTGACATGTTTGTCTGTGGGTTGAAGTGTAGATTGTTGTGCATTCAATGTGTTCATGGTGTTTGTTCCCCACAGCGCTTATCCTCTTTTATGTACTGTAAACCTCCTGTATGGTAAGTACTGTATCGTATTTGATGGTACTTTTACATTTACAGAAATGTATTCCTTGTATTAGCATTAAACCCTGTGAACTGACTGTGTGTTTACAGCTCATCTCCCTTTTAAAAAAGTGGCTCCAACAGATAACATACGTTTTCTCAAACAGTGTCCCTCCTGTTTTCCATTCCCTCTTCATCCCTGTGTGTACAAGGATAAGCCTGATAAGTGTAAGCTGTGTTTTCCTGTTTGTTGCTGGTTCATCTGCATCTCTCCTGCGTTTCAACTGTGTATCACCCGCTGAGTTTCTCCATCTTCCAGGTTCCGTGTTTCTCCGCCTCAGGTTTTTATGTTTCATGCCCAGGTTTCTGGCCTCACGCTTTTGGTTCCTTTGTTTTATTTCATAGTTGCTACCATGCTCTGCTTTTGTTTGCATTTCATCCCCCACTGTAAATAAAGCTCACTCATAGTTAAGTCAGTCGTCAGTGCCTGCACTTGGGTCCGGGGCCGGCTATATGCTGGGGCAAGAGGGGGCAATGCTCCCTTAAACAAACGTCCTGCCCCTTAAGTCAAACTTTTAGAAGTTAGAAAATAATTGATTA